TTCTTCATTGGAACAGATTTGGAGAAATTTAGCAACACATCACTTGCTCTCCAGTGGATCCTCTTCAGTGAATGGGTGCCATCAGAATGACAGTCCAAACAGAGTAAAACATAACCATAATCCACTTTTGTGATGTTGTATTGTCATGTTTTATCAGCTGTTTGGACTCTCATTCAGACGGCACCCATCATTCTTCACTGCAAAGGACCCATTGGTGAGCAAATTATGTAATGCTAAATTTCTCCAAATCTGTTCGGATGAAAAAACAAACTCATCTACATCCTGGATGGCCGGAGCGTATCAGTTTTCAGCAATTTTTCATTTTTGGGTGAACTATTCCTTTAAACTTATTCAAATTAAAGAGCTAACCAGTCATCACTTGCAGTGTTTCTCATCTGTTTCCAGAAAACCAGTTCTGAATATTTACATAATATTTTAAGATGTGTTGAGATGCAGTGAAAATCAGCAGAACTACTAAATCATTTAAATTGCAAGTTTACTTGAAGACAGTAAAGGAGGTTTCAGATGAGCCTAATTTTTGCTTCCTGGAGGTGTCCAGGACCCAGGCTGGAATGTGTTGGCAGTGCTTACGGGGTCCTCACTGAATTCAGTCTGTCCAAACTGTGTGGCAGAGGCATGACCTTTGACCTGAATCTGAACAGGTTGGGCCACCAAACCTTCCTCATACTCTTTGGCCTGCAGGGCGTTATCCATCTCCTCTGCCTCTGAAGCTCTGATTTTGATCTGCTCCCTGTAACGTTCGTTCTGTAACAACTCCTATAGAGGGCAACAGACACATGTTAACATGACACTTCCAATAATATGATCATTACAACATTACTGGCTATAGAATTGTCATTTCATTTTAAGATATAATAAAAAGAAAATGTACAACATTTCTGGTCTTAAATGTTTTTGTTCTATTTGTATTTTTAGACATTATATAAATGACACGAGTCTTGATAGGCAGTCTCAATATAATCAGACACAAATAATACCTCTATTGCAGGTGGCTGCTTCCGCCTGCCTCTGATCCAAGCTAAGGGAAAAAGACGAAGAGATAAGGATGTTAAACAAGGAACTAAGTTAATACATCATTTAAAAACAATATATATGAAAATATTTACATTTTAAAGTTAAGTATAATTTGATAAAACATCTAATAATGGGCTTACAACAAATCTATTCTTTACTAAGGTCAGTTTTCAAATATGCAAACAGTACATTTTAGTTTAGACAGTTAATACAGAAACAATCTGAACTGAAATATTTGGTTGGATCCACATTATCATAAATATATAATATTTGTCCATTAATGTAGTCTTTTTTACCATCCCATTCAGAAGGAATGCTTCCTTCTATGTACTCAAACTCTTTTGGATTGGCTGCTTCTATTAGGCGTCTAGGCCGCATGAGCCGTCCTGAAGAAGACAAGACATTAGGTTTATTTAAACCATTAAACTAAACAACAAAAAGATAAGTTCTCTATAACCCCTGGACAAAGAAAAGAGTCTAAATTCTAAATATATATATATATTTTTTTATATATATTTTTAAAGTTGTTTATTTTCATTATATGGATAACTCTCAAAACCAATAACAATTTATAAACATTATTGTTATTATTTTGCCTTTATATTAATAAACATGACCTACCGGTCCATGACTTCTGCTCGGGTATGTAGTAATATTTATTTCCTAAATGATCTGTTCCGACATGCTCTTTTACCACTCCAAATGTTCTTCGCAACAGAGAAGTAATACGGCTCATCGCTATAAGTTAAATATCTGTTATTTTCTCTATTAGTGCACATACATACACATTTGCTTTGAGTCGTAGGTTACACAATTACCTAGTATTAATCCTGTCATATGATTGGTTCTTGCTCTCGCTCTGTCCAATCAGACTTCGCGTTGTAGACACGTCACAACATGGCTGCCTCCTGTCCTACAAATGCACAACATACATTTAGCGTGTTGTGCAGAATGGATTTGTTTAGTTTAAAAACGGGGTTTTACAGGCTAAAAAAAAAGCTTTGGTAAAAGACTGTACACAGACATCTGTTCTTATTATTCCACTCTGACAACACAATCACACCGTACAATACACAAATAAACATAAAAGCTTCAATGTCTCTTCAACGATGTTGAGTTTTCTTTATGCCAGGCAATCAGGGCTTGACGACCCAGTTCGTCTGAGACGTGCAGAGTCCACAAGAAGGTAATGCAGTAATGTTTTCCCCCCCGAGGTTTCTTCTTGAAGACTTTTTAACTGGTTTTAAAGATATACAAAAGCAAAAAAAAAAACAAACGTAATGTCCGCGCACTGATAAAACTGACCCATAAAAATTGTTTATTGCACGTTGGTCGTGCAATACATTAAAAAAATGTTTACAAATATTAACACATTTCACTATTTGTATTTTGGTATTGTGTAATGATGTTAACCTTCATTTTGTTACATTTGCTTGCATAGTTATGTATATTATCTATAGAGGAGAATGTTGGACTAACATACAACATTTTTTTTTATTTTATAAAACGTTTTTAAATTAATACATTTAATTTTACGTCAGATTTGTCTAAAAAGTCACTGAAAAGTGGCACAACCCACTCTCCCATACTGTATCTTTAGGGTGCTGAGTCTGGAGTTGAACCACAACAGAGATGTTGATCGTATTCATGGCAATGGAATTAACACCCTGGACACTGAGGTTATTGATGGAAGATAGTAAGTGTACTTTAACCATAGAATTCACATTTACATATTTATGCATTTAATACACAATTATTTTCTAGTGATGACCCCATATAACAAAGAGACAATAAATACAGGAAATGTCTGGCCTTTTTGCATTCCAGTATGTTGTCAGGTGGATCTGATGGCGTAATTGTGATCTATGACTTGGAAAACAACAGCAAGAAGCCTCAATATACTTGCAAAGCAATCTGCACAGTGGGCAGGTCGGTATGGCTCCCTTCTCATTCACAATGATCCAATGATCACCAGATGGCAGTGATATGATATTTTCTGATTTTAATGGGTGCTTACATGTCATGTGTGACTTTCACATCTCTGTTTTTCTGTGAAGGTCCAGTCGGCATGTGCATAAATTCAGCGTTGAAACAGTGCAATGGTACCCGCATGACACCGGTATGTTTGTATCCAGTTCGTTCGACAAAACCATGAAAGTCTGGGACACAGAAACTCTTAAGGTGTGTGTATGTCCTTGTCCTCAAGATTACTCATTCATTTTTTTCTGCTCTTTATATTTCTAATAATATTTAGTGTGTATATATATATATATATATATATATATATATATATATATATATATATATATATATATATATATATCTATATATATATATCTATATATATATATATATAATGCTATTTTAATTTCTGGTTAGATGTTAACTGCATTTCATTGGCTTTGTCCTTGTACTCTGCACAATGAAAATAATGTTTAATCTAATCTAAGTTTACATGACCACCTGCTTTTACCCAGTCCACAAATTCCCCATAGTGTTTTCACAAATGCAATTTAGCCAACCATCCCACAACTGAACGCAGTAAGCAATTGTAGAACCACTAATCTGCTCAAACAGTGGCTCCTCTGTGGTGTCAAATGTCCCTTATCTGTTGGCCATTCAGCTGGTATTTGCATTGTAACTAACACACAGGAATGGTGCCCAAGCAACATTCAATGCCTTTTGCTCCTTTAAGCACATCTAACATGTGTATTTTCCTTTTAAAATATTATTCTTCACATTAAGTTTCATTGAATATGAATGATTATTTATTAATTATTAATTCATTGATTTATTTCAGCCAGCTGAGGAGTTCCAGTTTGATGGCAATGTCTACTGTCATCACATGTCTCCTGTAGCCAGGAAGCAGAGTCTTGTAGCAGGTGTGTTCTCTGACCAAACCAAACCTTCTGCATGTGGCTGTTCTTTTGCAATTCTGAGCACTCATTACTCTTTGATTTGATTCTTTTGTGTCATTGTTTCAATCAGATGTTAATAATCTAGAATCCTTGGAGCTGTAGAGTAGCACATTCATGGCCTTCAAAAAAAGAGTTTATTGCTAAAATGTATGTTTTAGATGGATGTCCTGCTCTAGAAAATTCTGTAGGTTAAAGTGGAAGTATTTAAGAGAACTTTATCATTATTATCATTAAATGGGAGACAGCAAAACATTTCCTGTTTTAGATATGAGAAGTGAGGAATCCAGGCACTTATCTCCTAATCAAGAAGGACAGGTTATGAACACCTCAATGTCCCATTGTCTTATTTTCTCTCTTTCTTTTTGCTTTTTTTTTCTCACTGCTAGAGTTTCAGTAATTGATTTCCCCATGTCCATTTTTTTTTCAGAAAGAACATACTGGTATTAAGGAGACTTTTTCTTAATAATATTCCATAGTATAATAATTATATAATTATTATAAATTATTAATAATAATAATACCAAATACAACCTTCTCTATATTGTCATATTTATCATAAGTTGGGATCTGCCCTCATACATACTTTTGTACATATGATCAGTCTTTTTGTTTTCACTGAATTATCTTTACAGAGTAAAGAGCTACTAGAAAAATTACGTCAAGTGTGACATCAAGGCCTTTACAGAATTTTGCAACTGTTTCCAACTTCATGCATGTCAAAAATGTTTCATATTAGGTGTTCTCTGAGTGTTTGAGGCATGGTTTGCATTAAAATTTCTGATAACTTTGACCAGACAGCTCTAACTAACACCTTCAAAGTTTTTGATAACTACTGATTCCAGTTACTGGAGATCATCGAAACGTGTATTTGATTAAGAGTTGTTATTTAAGTAGATTGTATCTGTCTGTTTGTGACCTAGTTAAAGATCTGGTCAATTTTTATGACCAGTTTATGCCGGAAAATCTGAAGGGCTCACAATACTGCATAATCAGAACCATTTTTAAGATCATATTCCACATTTTCCCAAAAGCTTATTATTTATATTCCAGTACATAAATCTTATAAAATAACAAAAATATTGTGCCATTACATATAACATATATTGATGTGTTCAATGTGTTTTCCCCTTGACACTGGTCTCAGAACTCCTACAATAACAGTGTGTCTGAGCTGTTGTGTTATTCTTCTCACTCAGCTCTATTGTGCTCTGTGTTGGCAGTTGGTACCAAAGACCCCAAAGTGCAGCTTTGTGATCTGAAGTCTGGGTCGCGCATCCACATCCTTCAGGGTGAGTAATGCCTGTTGTTTCTGAATGGAGACAGCCCTGGTGAAGGGTGATTGTTCTCTCTTAAACAGACATGGGTTATTGAATCCTGGCCATATTAGCAACAATTTCCCCCAGAAAGTTCAAAAGAACAGCGTTTATTTGCGATAGAAATCTTTTGTAACATTATAGAACAGTTACAAAAATGTTACACATTAAAGTTTGATCAATTTAATGTGTCCTTGCTGAATAAATATATACATTTCCTTAAAAAACTTACTGACCCTGAACTTTTGAATGGTAGTATACAAACATTGAGAGATGGTTAATGTGTCCCTGACAGGTCACAGGGGCGAGATCCTCTCAGTCAGATGGTCTCCACGATACGATCACATCCTGGCCACTGCCAGGTAAGCACTTCCACACCTGCACAAATGTCAATGCACTCACCTTTCCTTTGCTACTATAACAATAAACAGCCACATCTTGTGCTATTTGATGCTGTTTTGTTTTTAATCTATTGAAGATTCTTTAGTCATTTGAAGCCTTTTGGTTATGGTAAATTTAGTTTTTTCTATATTCAAGTCACATGCAGTTTTATATGCATATTGCAATCAGTCTCCTCAACAGATTCAGCGCTCATCTGCTGTTTGCGTAATGTGAGTGAATGAGAGTGAGATAATTAGCCATTGGGGACTTTTGAAACTGTCCTTTCTGCCTGGAAAATTAAGAAAACAGAGCTGTGTGGGAAAGCCTTTTGCAAGATTTTTTGCAAAATCTATTTTACAAGTAAACTGCTGAACCAAGGCTCTTTCAAGCATATAAAATTATAGAAAGAAACCGATTGTAGGAAGACTTTCAGGCATTTTGGCATCTGTTTTGTTTGGCATCTAATTCCCAAATGAGATTTTAGCATTACATGAACAAAGGGATCGAACTTGTTTAAGGCCAGTTCTGAATCTGACCTGACCATCTGTAAGTGATTTATTCATCTTGTATTATTGCTATTAACTCTTGTGCAATGGATTTCCCGATAGCACTGACAGTAGGGTCCGTATCTGGGATGTGAGAAGAGCCTCTGGGAGTCTTTTTACTTTGGACCAGCACAATGGGGACAAATCCAAGGCCTCATCTGAAGCAGGTAAAAGCACACTTGTTTCATCAAGCCTGTGTTGTAGTCTTTATATGAACTGCAATCTGTTGTAATCAGTTCAATTTGTACTTAAAAACATTTGAGAGCTAGTTCATGTAGCTGTACTGAAAATATTATTTACTGCTTGCATTCTGTAAAATGCTTTTTTTATGTGGCGGAATATTGTTACTTAAATAGTGTATACGAATTGATATGTAATTTTACAGCAAGTTCACGTTTTTTAGCGATAACTGTTGCCACAGCAGCAACTGCAGCAGGTGGAACTGAATGAAAGCAATAACCTCTGTGTGTAAAAGATGCTGACAGCTCATATTGCTGCATCAGACAAAAGAGATGTTTATATGCTTTATAAACCTGTCTGTAATCACCCTCATTATACTTATATATATATATATTTATTTTATTTTCTTCTGTCACAGAAATCAAATGAACACACACACAGACACATACAGGTGCATCTAAATAAATTAGAATGTCGTGGAAAAGTTCATTTATTTCAGTAATTCAACTCAAATTGTGAAACTCGAGTATTAAATAAATTCAATGCACACAGAATGAAGTAGTTTAAGTCTTTGGTTCTTTTAATTGTGATGATTTTGGCACACATTTAACAAAAACCCACCAATTCACTATCTCAACTATATAGTCCAGTTAATACACTAATGTAGTTCAATTAATATTATATAATACATATAGTATTACATAATTATATCAATATTATGTAATATAAATATACAAACCCAATTCCAAAAAAGTTGGGACATATCAAATGTTGAAAGTGAGATATTTTGAAATGTCATGCCAAATATTGGCTCATTTTGGATTTCATGAGAGCTACACATTCCAAAAAAGTTGGGACA